TTACCCTCATTTTACAGAACTAGGGTATTAAGACAGCTTACCCTCATTTTACAGAACTAGCGTATTAAGCCCTAGAGGAGATCGAGAATTTGCGGTGCTCCTACTTTCTATACAGTTTTGCCTCCAGTTGTGCTTTCAGTATTCAAGAGACTGTTCCAAAAGAATGAATCTACAACTTTTGTGAAACTTTAATAATTATACAAAAAAGATAACATGAATTGCCTTTTAGCAAGTCTGCACACGATCCTTTGGAGCCCTGGTGGCATAATTGGTAGGGGCTCAACTGCAAAACTGGCTCTCAAAAGGTCTGAGAATCTGTTTCCATAAAGACTACAGCCTAGGAAACCCTATGGGAGATTTTTACTCTGTCCTACAGTGTTGCTATGATTTTGGAATTCACTCAATGGTACAAGGTCAGCAGTTCAAACCCACCAACTGCTCCTTGGAAACCCTATACAGGGTCACTGTGAGTCAGAATCGATTTGATGGCACTTAACAATGGCACACAACAACAGCAGGCACATCTTTTTATTGCTTATCAAACTCATATTTGTAGATGAGGGAAAAGGCTATGTACAAGGGTAAGTCACATAGTATTGCTATAAAATCATGTTGCTCTTTTAGGTGCCTTCCAGTTGGTTCTGACTCATAGCTGCCCTGTGCACAACAGAACAAAACACTGCCTGATTCTGCGCCATTCTCACAACTGTTATTAGGCTTGAGCCCATTTCTTCTGCCATGATGTCAATCCATCTCATTTGGGGTCTTCCTCTTTTTTGCTGATTCCTCCACTTTGCCAAGTGTAATGTCCTTTCCCAGGGACTGGTCTTTCTTGATAATATGTTTGAAGTATGAGAGACGAAGTTTTGTCATCCTGGCTTCTAAGGAACATTCTGGCTGTACTTTTTCCACAAACAGATTTGTTTGTTCTTTGGCAGTCCATGATACTTTCAATATTCATCTCCAACACTATAACTCAAATGCATCAATTCTTCTACAGTTTTCCTTATTCAGCGTCCAACTTTCACATGCATATGAAGCAAATAAAAATATCATGGTACCTTAGTCCTCAAACACTTTAAAGAGGTCTTGTGAAGCAGATTTACCTAGTGCAACATGTCATTTGATTTCTTGACTACTGTTTCCGTAACTGTTGATTCTGAATCCAAGCAAAACGAAGTCTCTGATAGCATCAATCTTTTCTTCATTTATCATTATGTTATTTACTGGTCTAGTGGTGAGGATTTTTGTTTTCGTTACATTGAGGGGCAAGCTATACTGAAGATTATGGTGTTTGATCTTTGTCAGTAAGTATTTTAAGTCTGCTTTGCTTTTAGCAAGGCTGTTATCATCTGCATATCACATGTTGTTAATGAGTCTTCCTTCAATCCTGATGCCATGTTTTTCTTTATATAATCCAGTTTCTCATATTATTTGCTCAGTGTACAGACTAAGTATAATGAAAGAATGCACCACTAGTGTACACTTTCCCTGATTCTAAACTATTCACTATACTCTTGTTCTGTTACAAAATCATAGAAACCTTTATTAAACAAAAATATCAAAATGTAAAACTATTGTTTTTCGACACATCCTCATCTAGGTCTAAACACTTCTGAAACCAGTGTTTCCATTGGCCTCCTTCAGGTAAACGGCACTACCCATTTTCTTGGTGTGCAGGTCCAGAAGAAGCACTTGACAACAAATTCAGTCTGAACCCAAGGTAGGCAGTTCCAACTTAGCAGTTGCTCCTCAGAAACCCTATACAGGGTCACTATGAGTTGGAATTTACTCCATGGCACTTATCCATAACAACAAACATTTCTCCCAAAGAATTCTGCAACCTTCAATTTATACCACATCAAAATGGCAGTTTTGGCATCCTTGATTGTGTTCCTTTTTAAATGTTCTTGGAGTTTGGGAAACAAAAAGAAGTCTAGAGGGGCAACATCAGGGCTGTAAGGTGGATGGAGTAAGGTTTCCCAAAAAAATTTTCCTAAGACAGCCCTTGCTATCCTCAAGAATGATCGGATGCATTGTCATGATAGAAAAAATTTCCTTGGTATAATTTTCCTGTTTTCTCACCCTACAACTTTCCCATTTTCTCACCAATGTGGTTTTTTATTTTCTCAAAATTTTTTCCTAACAAGCCTCATGATCATCCTGTGTCCTTGGAGAAAATCTATCAAGATTACCCCCTTTGGAAAGCCCCCCATAACAGCTGCCATAACCTTCTAAGCTGACCTCTCTGCTTTGAATTTAACTGGCTCAGCAGATCCCCACGGGAAGTGACTGTGTAGATCCAAGAGTCATTGCTATGAGTCACTCTATAAAATTATCTTCATTACCTTTGATCTTGATTAAAAGACTGATTTAAAAATCAGCAATTTGAGTTAGCTGATCTTAATATATTTGGCACCCATCAAGCTGAAAGCTTGCTGAGGCCAAGATGTTCACTTAAAACTGAAAATGCCAAAACATGTTGGATCCCAACTTCAGTAGTGATTGTATCAATGGTAATTCTAGGGTCTTCTTCCATCAGTTTCTGGACTTTAGGGGCAGTTTCTTCATCCATCAAAGTTGAGAATCTTCACCCTTTTGGCTCAGTTTTGTTATCTTCCCAACCTTCCTTAAAATGCTTGCTCCATCTAAAAAACTTTAATGTGGGGCAGCACTGCCATGAGAACTTGTTGCAAATTTCAATGATTCAGGAAGATGTCCACTTGAGTTCTGCTAAAAATTTGTCATTAGCCCTGACTTCAAAATTGTTTTTTTACATGGCACTCTAATGTGACTTGGACAAGTGTATTACTGAGAGAACGTGTTTGCAGTCATCTACTAATTGCACAGACATGCTTGTTGTTGTTGTTAAATGCCATCGAGGCGGTTCCGACCCATAGCGACCCTGTACAGGGTTTCCGAGGCTGTAAATCTTTATGGAAGCAGAAAGCCTCATCTTTCTCCCGCGGAGCTTAACATGTTTTATCTGGAATAAACTGGTGTTTATATGAACTGGATTCTTAGTAGCAGTACTTTTTGACTTACCCTTGTATGTCAAATAACGGCATATACACCCACACTTTACTTATTGACATTGTTAGGTTTTAAAACACCAGGTTGTTATACAAAATTGGTGTTATTCAGGAATAGGGGGCTATGCATTTTAGCACTGGTGTCCCCCACTTTCATTGCTCACCACTCATTGGGCTGTCCGACAACAATGGAGGCAACAGGGCTTGGGGGTTATGGTGGTCATGCATTGTCACTACCCACTGCATCCCAGTGCCCACCTTGGTTGGGGAGCCTGTTTGTTTCCCATCTGTCCATTTTCCCACAACCCCGTGTGGCCCCTTTCCCTCTCCACCCATTCCAGCCTTCCCAGCACCTTGAGATAAACGTAGCTTCCCTAGCCAGTGTACAAGCACATACAGTCCTGCTGTCACCTTGCACACTCCTTGGTGAGACTGAGACATTATGGGTGAATGAATGGGAGAAGAAACTGTCCCCAAGTCTATTAGCCACTGTCACCTGTGTGCCTGCTTGTCACTAGGGCCTCCAGTGTACCATTTGGTGTGGCTTGTGAAGGGCACCCTGGGCCTAGCCATTGCCCTGCATGGGGCTAAGACCATTGTAGGTACAGCCTGAGAATTTTTTCAAAGTTGTCATAACTGTGAAATGTTGGCTAATGAGAGAGTCAGTGAGGAGTAGGTGTAATGAACCTGTTTCACAGAATAATGAAGCTGAGTTCACCCAAGGGAGAAGCTTGTCTGCCATGAACACACATCCGGCTCAGCTTCACTTCTACATTGTCTGTATTTTCACTAGCCTTCATACCTTTTTCTTCAATTCCACACTGATGGCATTGGCCTCCTTCAGGTAAACGGCATTACCCCAGAGTAAGTCCCTTAATGAAGTAAACTGGTGAGACTTCCATTTCCGGAAGGCCCATTGAGCCAACTCAAATTCATGCTGTGTCCAAGGAACTGAAAGAGCAAAAGAAGTACATTTAATGGTGACTTCCTAATTACATAGGAAATACATCATTCCTTTACCTTCTCTGCCTAATCAAGTTAAAGTATTTTCCAGTTTTACCCCATGCAGCAGTTTTTATTATTTTTTTAGAGCATACTAAATTCTTTTGACATTATGAAAAAAATTTAGTATGCATGAAAACTTAAGAAAAATACCTTAAAAAATGAAAAATTCATTTAAAAACAGTACATTAAAGAAATAAATTTTACTTTCATTTAGAACATTTTATTTCTAATATGTGGCCTGCAATAAAGAAAACACCCCTGGTATGCTGAATGACTTCATATTTTTTTTTCTTTCTAGTAAAAGGGATAAAGAGACTAAAGGAAAGGGTCATATTTCACTTAAGATATTTAATAATAAATATTTTTATTTTAAATTATTGTGAAGCCTTTGAATGTCAGAGAGTCTAAGTGGAAGTAGGATGAATGTTCAATTCTATATTATATGACAGTAAATAACAATGAAAACCCTAAATCAGCTAATAAAGTCTGGGAAACTTAAGGCATGCAGGCGTGACTAAACAATTATGATTAGAAATCTGCTAGAAAGTACACTGAAGTAGCCCAAAGTCTTAGTTGGGAAACTCCTGACATAAAACCAAACTCAGAAAATAAAACAGATTATCTTAACAAAGATTAAACTCTGAATTTCACATGCATGGTAATATGTGCAGTATAAAGGAATAGCCCAAAAGATTTCTAATAGTGCTTAAAAGGATGAGGCTTGTGAAGGTAAGAGTATCATCAACTTCAGTGTCACCTCACAGAACAGAGTCTACATTCTCAGCATTGAGTATCTTTTAAATAATCTTTATACTGGCTCAATAAAGTACCAATAAACCCAGGCCTGATCACAAAGAACTAAGATAATCATACAGATCTAAAAGGAATACACAGGAAAATGTCACCTTCTTCCTCCTCTTCTTCCTCTTCAGTTGTTTCTGCAGCTAGGGATCTCGTCTCAACCTGCTTCTGCAAGGCCTGCAATTTACTCTCATAATCCTGAAGGAAGAGAAAGGAGATAACATGTAGGAGAGACAGGAAATAAGAGGGCGAGAAAGACAGAAATGAGAAGAACATTGGAAGAAGTAAAGAGAGCGTGGGGCTGAGAGGAAAGACAGAGTTGCAAAACTGTAATCAAAGGATAGAAAGAGAGAAATGCTCCAGGGAAACCCACAAAGCACATAAAACTGTCCAGTGAGAAAATGCTAAAAAAATTTAACAGCAGTTTCTCTCTTTTTATTTCCTCAAAGATTCAAGTGTTCTTTATTGGGAGCTGGGGTAGCAGAAAGGGGAATTTTGAGGAAAAAAACACCACAAACATGTCCGTGTCCCTTAAATGTTACAGCATACATAAGCAATAGCTTACATATCAAGGTATTTTAAGAGAAAAACAATACTGGCAAAGATCAAGGTCACCAGTATCACCAACAGTCCCAATTATCTAACGGCTTAGATGAGAATAATTAGAAGTTTGCATATTAGAGCTCCTAATGGGTGAAAATTCTTAGTTTTGCAGCTATGAGATGAGTTTAGCTTTCAGGTAACTGAAAACTCACCATACTATGAGGAAGCTTCAAAAAGTTCATGGAAAAATTCCATTATCTTCCCCTGCCCCCAATTATCTTTTAATTCTATGTTTCTATTACTGTTGAGGATAAAATCTAAAGTTTTTTTTCTGCCTGTGAATAATTACAGCCAAACAGAGCTTACTTCCTTGTGCCTAGGATTAAGGGTTCCTATGCCAATTTTTCTTGAAAACCTCATATATACCTGACAGCTGAACTGCCTGAATTAGAAGCAGAGTATATTTAAAAGTGGGTTTGGGGTCACTTCCCCAACCAATCCTGGTAGGAGCATTCCTGGACATACCCTTTAATGGTCTCTGGCTGTGATGTCACACCCTGAGAGCCTCAGAGACTGTAAACTTTCCAAACTGCAGTAGTCTTTTCCTTGCTTTCTGTAAGACCAGTATGCGGATGAGAGAATAGGACACAACGTTGCCTTCAAGTGCGGTTGTGGAATAAGATTCCTTTGTTCCCTGTGCCCTATAAAAGGCAACCATGTGGAGGTGGAACTTTGGAAACTTAGGATATCTAGGATTTCCCTCATCTAGGTGATATATGTATATTTTTTGTTTTTGCTTACTCCTGTTTAAGACTTAGTAAAGAGTCTCTATTATATATAGAGTCCTGGTGTGGTGCTGTGGGTTAATGCGCTGGACTGCAAAGTCAGTTTGAACCACAAGGATGGCGCTCCTCAGAAACCCTATACAGGGTCACTATGAGTCGGTACTCACTTAAGGCACTTCAAATATATATACATATATTTGAAGATGGGGTCGGTCTATTTTATCCCCTATGTTGTTGTTGTTGTTAGGTGCCGTTGAGTTGGTTCCGACCTATAATAACCCTATACAGGGTTTCCAAGGAGCGGCTGGTGAGCTTGAACTGCTAACCTTGAGGTTCAAACCACCCTTGCAGTCAAGTGCATTAACCCACAGTGTCACACCAGGAGTCCTGTAGCATTACATTATTCAAGAAAGATATCTTATTTTAAAACATCATCCACAAAAGGACAAAAACGGTTCTTGGAATACTGATAAACATATGGTAAATAAATAAATATATAGTATATCTGTGGTATTAGATTTTTATGGTGGGGTAAGATTAGGAAAAAATGTCTGAATGGGCTCCCAGGGTTGATAATAAAAGCAAATTGGAAAAACACTAATCTAAGTTCATGGAATTCAAGATATTTCACTGCCATGTACTCAATTATGAGAAGTTGAGTAAGAAAAAAAGTAAGTAAATAGAAAACTAAAGAACTTTCTTAAAATAGAGGGGAAATGAAAGAATAATTTTAAAACTGTCCAAAGCTCAGATACATCTTTAAAAAGAAAAAGATTTGAGACATTTTCCAGATTGAATGGTCTAAATATGTTTCCAATTTAGCTGTATTTTCATTTCTATTTAAATACGTGTAATTTACAAAGGAGAGAAAAAAAACTTAATATCTATAACTTAAAATAATGTAGAGATGAATACATCTTAATATATTGGGATAATTTCTTAATGTATTTGATGTGATAACGTATGTAAAAAGTTGATGAGCCAGATTTACTGTTCTATGCTTTCTCTTAGGGCAAACCTCAACATGTTCTGATAGAAGCATCTTTAGGTGAATTTTAATGAAAACAAAACAAGTAGGAATAAGAAAAGATCTTCACAAAATGAAATCCAAAACCACAGCATATGCTTATTAGCATTTTAAAAGATATTGCCTGCGTTTCCTGCTTTCTTTGGTTCCTCAGGAGTGACCCAAATACAGGCTGTCATGAGACAGAGGGTTGAGGTATGACCATGTATTCTATTTTCTAGCAGAGCTCTCCAAATCACAACTCAAACATTCCATGCATTAACAAGCACCACTGAAAGCCTCTGGAGCAAACTCTATCACAAAAGGAGCTCCTGAAGGCATTGCTGGGAAGGATGCAAATACTCTCTAAGGCTTTGGTCCCTTAAGCGCACAAAGGAAGCTTTATCTTTGTAGAGGAGCTGGCAGTGACCATGAGCAAATACAAAAGTGACACTGCTTTATTGAATCTCTATAAACACTTTTTAGGAGAGTTATGTGCTGTGACAAAGATAAAACAACAACAAAACTAGTAGGTAAAAGATGGATTTTGGTCTTGGCAACTGCTCTTCCCAGCTTTATAACCCTGGGAAAGTTAAATTTGCTCTAAACCTCAATTTTTGTCATCTTTAGAATGAAGATTTTATTTAAATATTTCATTTGCTAACCTCACAGGACTAATGGAAAGATCAAATGATGAACCATTTAAGGACATATGACTGTAAAGGTAGTAGTTTTGGAACAAAAATGGGGGAGTAGTTAAACTTACAGTCCAGATACAAAGGACCCTAGGACTTCAAGGGAGAAGAACACAAGCAGTGTGGGACCCTATCTAGAGAAACAGAGACACCAGGATGGAGGCAGAGATGAGGGAGCAGCTGAGGTCTCTAGATTCATGGAAAGATAAAAGCTGTGTGCTGGCAGCTAGGAGGCAGGCTTGCAGAATGTGCCCTTTGGTTGTTTAAATTATTATATAGTCCTGAGAGTTTTTGTGTACATCCCCCCAAAAAACAAAACAAAACACCACAGAGAGGGAATGGAAGCAAATACTGTTGAATGATGGTGCACGGAAGAGACTGTAATCATTGCAATGAAACGATGGTGTAAAGTCGATGTTCTCCCATGTAAACTATCACTCAGTTCACACACACACACACAAACAAAAGATAGAGTTGAATATAAAAACAAAACACATATGAAAGTTCTTTTACAAGGCAAACACTATTAAAATAGCATGTAATGTCTAAGAAGTTTTATTTTTTAAGCATATCTACTTCCCAGACTGTGGTTTCTGTGTGCTATTCCCCATTAGAAGGAACCAGGACTCTTCGGGAAAATGTCTGATTTCGGGTTTGGAGCAAGGGTAGTATAAGGTGAGCTTGGAATACTTAGTGCCAGAAACCAAGGAAGTGTTCAAAGGCAGATGGGATTACTTTAAACGGACAAAGGCTCAATAAATTAGAATATAATTTATTGAGTATTAATCACCATATTGTAACCCTCAGTGCTGTAATGGAATGAGGCAAGGATTACCAAGTGTTAAAACAACTGAAAGATGAATGTGAAACAGAATATTCATACAATCTCCACGTGGATACCCCCATTAAATTACCAATTAATAAGAAGGGGAAATGGTATCTTTACAATGGTAAAATCTGAGAAACATCACATTCACCTTAAGATTATTAATAATAGGACAATGGATGTTTTGTATCTATTTAAGTGATACAGTGGGAAGCATGTCATCTTTGCAGTATTCTTGTCAAAAAAAAATCCACTTGACCTAAATCTAACCTTCAGTAAACAATCAGACAAACACAAAATGTGGCCTGTTGTTGTTGCTGTTGTTATGTGCCATCGAGTCGGTGTCATGAATGATGAAAGAGAACAGCAAAACCAAATACAATACATATGTATATGTGTATATGTATACACACACACAGTTTGATTGGATTAACACACACACACACATGGCTCTGATATTCTTATTTTTGAGGCAATTAGGGAAACCTGAAAACTGTGTAGTACATAATATTGAATTAGTACTAATTTTTTTGGATAGGATAATGATATTAATATCCTATATCTTAGGAGGTACAGACATTAGTACTTAGGAGTACACAATCATGTTTGCATTTAACTTTCAAATGATTCGGAAATCCTGGTGTAGCACTGTAGGATAAGCACTAGACTGCTAACTGCAAGGTTGGCAGTTCAAACCTGCTAGTCACTCCTCAGAAACCCTGTACAGGGATGCTATCAATTGGAACTGACTCCACAACACATAACCACAACATACAAAGATTCACTACACTATTTCTTTTTCAGCTACTTTGTAAGTTTAAACTGTTTTAAAATACAAAGTTGGAGGAAAAGGCTATTTTTCTACAAAGCTTAAAGACAGTCCTGGATATGTCATATACTAGTTATGATGAGCTACACTTATGACTACTTTCTTGTTTGTACATCTAGTAGTATAAACTGCAAATAACATTGCAGCATGAAATTTGCTGACACTCTGATTCTCAGATGTTCAATATTATGATTTGCTATTTTAAAAAAACTGCTATACAGTAGGCAATAATGAAAAAAACAAAACAAAAAAAGAGGCATTAGACTTATGTCAGCACTGACTTCCAATGACGTTGTCGGAATGGAACCCCATGGTTAAGCTGGAGGCTTCCTGTACATTGTATGAGATAATTATAGCAAAAAGAAAATGACTATTGGTTTACCTAGACGTGGGAGAAAATGTCCTATTTTATCTTAAGGATTTCCTTAACAATAGGTATATAGATACAGGGTGGTCAAACTACCAACAAAAATAAAATCACAAAGGTTTTGGTGTTCTTTGTTGTTGTTAAGTG